CCCCAAAACCCCAAAACCCCAAAACCCCAAAACCCCAAAACCCCAAAACCCCGAATAATTTTTCTTAAATTGATTTAAAAATAAGAATAAAATAATAAATTCAAAATAGAAATGTCTCGCAGATCAGGCTCAAGGCCGTATAGTGCTCATCCTTCTTCACATACAAGGAATTTGATAGCAAAAACTTTGAACCAAAATAACCCAAACAATGTTGATGATGTTGCTAAGATCTGGACAGCCTTAGGTAAATATATTGCCAAGATAATCAAAACTGGCAAGGGAGTCTCCATACCGAAATTCGGCCAATTCACATTTACTCCAATGAAGGTAGATCTCGCTGGATCAACTAATCCAGATGTCAGAGATAAGCAATTGAGAGAACCCATTTTTCAAGTAGCCCAAGATTTTGTATTAGGAATGCCTTTAAAATCAGGTGTTGTGAATAATACAGGAACATTAAGACCATTTCAAATTCAAGGCACCTCAGGAATAGTTCCAAAAGTCAGAATCAATTATACAGAAATCGGATACTATGCTGGTGTCTCTAAAGATGATGCCAAGCATGGCTGTGATATTGTTATTAGAGATCTCAGTGATAAAGTTAAAAGCGGCCAGCAAACCAAACTTCTCATCCCTAACGTCGGATACTTCTTATGTAGAGCTAAAGTTGTTGGAGTAAAGTTCAACGGTGATGTGGTGCAGGATGCTGTAGGTAAAACATCTAAAGCACACTTTGTCAACAAACTGTTCTCGAATAGTGTGAACAGAGCCAATTTAGAAATCCTTGACCAGAAAGTATCGCAAGGAATCAGGACAAGACCAGCAAACTTCGAAAGCACCAATGCTAGAGTCCCAGTCGTAGGTATGCATGATGACTCGCTGACAGTGACTCCAGAAGCCCAGACCTGGATGCTGAACAACCTCGGCATCAACATGGACAGTGGACTACCTGTCAAGAGTGCTCACAAAGCCAAGCCAAGAATGAAGAGAACATTCTCAGCCAGGCCAGGTTTCAGAAGCAACGCTTCAGACAGAGGGTCAACTGTGAAGTCAGGACAAATGAACTACAGGTTCGAGCAGGACTCTGTACACTCCAAGCAAGATGAGCCTCTGTTCAAGATCAGAAACAGCTCCAAGAAGAGAAGACCAATGAGTGCAATTTCGAACTTCTCAAAGAGATCCAGAGCTTCTTCGGCAAAGTCTGCAGCAAGTTTCGTTCCAAAAATGACGAGAGCAAGCGCCCTTGCTTACTGCAACAAAATAGCTGCAAACAGGCTTGTGCTGGACCAGGCAAGGGCGTCTAAATTCAATGCCAGAGACAAGCTGACTCCAAGCGAGATCCAGCATGTGCTACAAGACGCCAGAGTGTTCATGGATATTTCTACAGTCAGAGGGTTCCTGGGTCACCTTCACTATTCTCCTCATGGAAAGTCTTGCTCGATTCTTGATTTGATCAGAAAGTGCAAAGAGTGGAGTGCAGGAGGACCTGGCAAATATGCACCACCAGCTGCTAAAGCCACTTCTCTGCACACTACTGAAGAACTCGTAATCAAGATCAGAGACTCTTTGTACAAAACTGGACTCTCAGCTGATAAGTTATTCGACATTGGGTGAGACCAAAAACGAGAAATTGACGAAGAAGCCTTTGTGTTTTTGATGAAGAAGTACTGTTCCGAAGTTGTCTCTGAAGATGATAGCAGAAGAGTCTTCCAAGCTTGCCACAGAAACCTTGGTTCGAATCTTGGACTATCAGACTTCAAAACCATATTTGGAGCTGTTGCACCAAAGTCTAACTTCCATATTCAGGGCTTGAAACAGATCAGAAGCTGGATGTATGAGAACGGACTGACTTCTGACCAAGCGTTTGACTCTCTGTTTGGTGGTAAACAAACAGTGAGTCTGGATCAACTAGAACAAGCACTAAGCAGACACTTTAGATTTACATCGCCAGAGGTAGAAGACATCTTCAAAGCCATTGCTCAAAACCATTCTTCTCTTTCTTCCGCTCAAAGACAAGACTGGCACCAGCAGCCAACTGGAGTAGCTACAAGGCCAGGCTTTGACTCTGAGTCAGAAACAAAATCTAATATAAATCTCCCTCACAACAGTGCTGTAATTACCAAGCGGAAGTGGTGTGAAACAGTATATGAAGACTCTGCTAATCCTCTGCAGCTGATCAGAGAAATTGTCAACGAATACAACTTAGACGAAGATGACCTCTTGTTCAGAATGAAACTCAGAATATGGGACGACCCTCTGGACTACCAACAATTTGTAAAGGCGATCAGGAGCCTGGACACCTCTCTCACTGATGTTCAGCTAAGAGCACTTGCAAAATCATTGAAAAATTCAAAGAATCTCGTAGAAGTGCCAGTGTTGGTCAACAACTTGATCGGTAAAGACCACCAAACTGTGGATTTCAGAGATAAGCTTTACAAAAGACTGTTCTCCGAAATCCTTGAAAGTGGCGGTGGTTCAAAGAAAGAGAAGTTAAAATAACCTGCTGATGAAATACGATACTCTTAATGATGGCACCATAGTTGCTCAGGACCTTCAGAAAGTCCTCAGTCAGGTCAGTCCAAGTATTAAGAAAGAAGACATTCTCAGATTCACCAGATTCTTAGAGAAAGACCCTAGAGGGAGAATCGATTACACAAAGTTCATAGATGATCTTGAGAAAGTCAAAGAGCATAATCCATTCAAAATCATTGTCTCAAGAATCAAAGCTTTCATGAAACAGAATGGCCAAGATGTCCAGAAGTTCATGAGGAGACTTGTAGCAGGCGAAAGCCAAACTGGCTCTGGCTTCCATAAAGAAGAAGGCCTTGAGAAGGAGAGAAAAGTCTCAGTTCCATTCTTTGCTAAGTTCCTTAAGAACAAAGTTGCCAAGAAGAAAACTATTGACGAACTTACTAACTACGCAGAACTCATCGATGTAGATGGGGATGGATTTATCAGTATTCATGATATGAACTCATGTCTTGGAAATTTGAATAACGAAACATTCTATAAAAATAACGGATCAACTCTCATAGGAACATTCAAGACAATTTTGTCAGAGCGGGACAAGTTCTTCCCAAAGGACCCACTGCCTCATCAGAAAGCTTTAGAGGTGGTCGCCAAAATCAAAGAGGCTCTCACTGCAAAAGGAATTTCAATGCATGTGTTATTCTCTAAACTTGACACGAATGGCGATGAGTTCCTGACATTCACTGAGTTCTCTGAGAACCTCGACCCGATTGTGAAGCTGTCTCCGATCATCAAAGAAAAGCTATTTGCTCTGATGGACGTAAACAAGATCGGAATGGTGGACTATCCCTCGTTCCTTGAAGTTCTGAAGCTGACCCCTGTAAGCGCTAAAACAGTCAGAGTCGAAGATAACTTCAACTGGGAGTATGAAACAGTCGACAAAATTAAGAAGTGGATTAATGATGAAGGCATCACAGTCGAAGAAGCGTTCAAAGCGTTTGACAGAGACTTTGACGGTCACATCAGCATTGAAGACCTCAAGTGGGTTATCATCAATATCATCAAGTCAGGAGACAAAAAGACTATTGGTGGATCCCAGCTAGAGAGATTGTTCAAACTGCTTGATTTCCACAAGTCTGGTCGGATCCAGAAATGCGACATCCAGAGGCTTGTTGAAAATGAAAACCCATACTTGTCCACAGGCAAACTCACCAACTCAAAGTTCATGGTGGGCGAAGACACTTTCGATTGGAAGAATAACGCCATCCAGCAAATAGGCATTGAGATATCCAGGAGCGCCAAGTATAAATCACTCAAAGACTGATTCAGAGTTGCATCAAAAGGAATGGGTAAAATCAACTACAGAGACTTCAAAGAGTTCGTGCACGAAAACAATGCTCTCAAAGGCTTCAACCTGACTGACCAGTTGCTGCAGAAGCTGTTCTCTGAACTAGATCCTCATAAGAAAGGGTTCTTGTCAGAGTCAGATTGGGAGGCTGCATTCGGAGGATTCAGCTGGCACGATCAGTTGATTGTTGAATTGCAAAATCTTGTGTCATGATCATTTACAGATGTAGAGTCTGCTTTTGAGTATTTCCAGGTTATTGGAAATAGCAAATCAATTACAAAGTCTACTTTTACCAAAGCTGTAAATTCTCTGAGAGGCAAAACTTTGAACTCTCGAGAAGCCGACTACATGTGGAAATATTTTTCTGATGGAAGCAAATCTATTGATGCTGATAAGTTTTCTCTCATATTCTCAGACCTCAACTTCAGTGGCACATCGGCCCTTCGAAAGACTGGAAAGTCATTGCACTCGACAACTCTGGTGAGCAAGACCACATCTTCAAGCCAGTGGAGCAAGAATGTGATGGAGAAGTTCAGGAAAATCATCAAGAGCAGCAACATGCACTTGAGAGATGTCTTCGAAAGATTCGATGAGGATGGAAATGGGCTGATTACTCCTCTGGAGTTCAGACATGCAGTCAGGACACTCAACATCAACTTGTCAGCTAGAGAAATCGATGAAATCATCAAGGTAGTTGATAGAAACATGGATGGCATGATCGACTGGAAGGAGTTTTCATCCAAGTTTAAAACAAATAGCAACGAATCTCTTATTGAAACTAGATCCAAGAACAAAATGGCTAAACTCAAAGAACAAATGACTTCCCACATGAAGAGCCCTCAAGATGCCTTCAACCTCTTCGACAAGTCTCAGTCTGAACGACTCTCCTTCGCCAACTTCAATGAACTCATCAAGGAACTGGCCAGGCTCTCAGGCGAAAGCGTGCCTCCCTTCGCAATCGTCAAAGACTTGTTCGACGAGATCGACATCCGCAAAGACGGAGCCATCGACCTGAAGGAGTGGAACCAGACTTTCCTAAGGGTGCAGGCTGGCGACAACAGGTTTTCACTCAAGAAGATCCCTCAACACTTGGCCGAGTTCGAAGTCAGCAGAGAGGCCAGAATAATTCTAGAAGCCATCAGGAGGAACAGAAAATTCCTCATTGAAAAATTTAATGAACGAAGCTCAGACGGAACTCATGTTTCCTTTGAGGAAGCAAAAGAAATAGTCAGAGCAGTTCAGAGAGGAGTCGAAATAGAAGATGACCAATACAAAATAATTTTCAAAGGAGCCATGAGAGAGAATGAATTAGTGGAATACAAGCTTCTTGGTAGAGCTCTAAAACAGTAATATTAATCATCTCAAGGAGATCCCATGAATTAATATTATTTCAACATTTTGTTCCTAAAAGGGGTTTTGGGGTTTTGGGGTTTTGGGGTTTTGGGGTTTTGGGGTTTTGGGG